ATACCAGGTGAACCTATGTTTGGGATTGTGTTTCATGCATGTTTAACACAAAGCGTTAGAGACTAGGAACTCAGATTATTTGTCACCTTGAATGAACCTTACAATGCGGACATATGTATTTTTCTTATTTTTGTCCATAATAACAAAATCAAATAACACAATAAACTGATTTCAAATTAAACAACTTTTATTTTTATGTACAGTAGGTAAATGTTAAAATATAGTTTAATGATACTCTTTGGGAAAATCAATGTAACTGGCATGATTAGACAGACCCGCCATTAAGAATCAGTAAAAAAAAAAAGAAAATACAAAACTGACATTCAGCATAGATATATCTGCTGGGAGTCTGTTGTCCAATGATGTTGTTTGTGAATGTATGTGGCTTAAGCTTTGAATGGTTTGAATTACATTAACGCAAACCTTGACTTTCTCACTGCCACATATTTCATTCCTACTTTTTCATCTTTTTCAATTGGTAGCTGATGACAAGCTACCATATCCAGTGAAGGCCATTGTTTTATCATTCACAAAATTTGTTTAAGTGAACTGGGTGGTTACAGCCATTGAGCTGGAATATACTTCTTCCAACACTCCTCCCCTGTGCACTTTTACTAGGTTTAGGATATGATCACATCTAGTATACCCGTAGGCTTGCCTTGGTTCATACTAGTATTAGATACCGGTTAATTCTCACAATTGTTTTAAAATCTATACAAACACATGCTTTTGATACAGAAAGGTGATACCAAAATCCAGAATCAGAAGATGAAAACATGCAATCATACAGCTTGTAATGCACGATTGTTATACTTTACAGCATCTCAGTAATCAATACGTCGGCCATACTGTGCACACACCTAAAGAGGCACTGATAAACAACCATGGAGTGGCAGCCTCATGGGTGAGTATTGTACTGTACCATTGAACAATTCAGATAGAACAAAATATCTTTCAAAATGATTCTAGTTTAATGGATTGGCATGTTATTTTACGATCAATTCATCTGGATCAATATGTATATATGGATTTCTTTTTATGATTATCCAAAAACAAAGATGTTTTTGACTTTCAACATAGATAAAAAATAAGCATAAAGTTTGGTTTTAGTACTACTGTACTTAATTATATCTATATTTTTTTTTCATGTTAATGAAAACTGTTTTAATTAAAATATAAAAACTGTTTTTATTAAAATATTTTCGTAAATTTTGTTAACAATGACGATAGTGATCGGGCCATGTCCAGGATTGCAATTTTAAGGAAGTACAGTCTCAATTGTCTTAAGAATACAGACCTTTCCTGATTTGGGGGATGTATGAGCACCCATCACACCCCCTGGATATGGTGATGATACCTGATACCTGGTGATGATGTCAAATATTAAAATTCATCATTCACAATTGATAAAAGTAGTCTGTATTAATTATCATGTCAAAGGAAAATATACTGTAAGATTCAGTTACAAACTTTGCTTGTGTATTATTTCACAGAAACGTGTTATTTGAGGCTATTAGACACCGTGATTGGCAAAAAGCAAGACGTATCTGTGAAGAACATCCAAACCTTATTAACACTTACAGTGGCATGCGGGTGTGTATTCAGCTGATTATATATAATTCTGGGTGTGATTTAGTGATGGATTATCATTTTATTGGTTCTTCACTTCAGGCCTAAAGTTACTGTAGTGCCAAACATTGCCTTAAGGCCTGTCTAGACTCTAAAATTTCATTTCACAAAAACATGTGACATGCCCCAATATGGTCATGATGACATCACATTGTGACCATATTTGGGCACATGATGACTATATTTGGGCATACAACAGTTTTTTTGTCAAAGAACATTGATAGTGTGGACAGAGCTTTAGTTTTAGTAATTATTAGCTGTGTGAGGCTTGTGTAGGCCACGGCTTGTGTAATATCCTCAGCTAGGAGGATTGAGTGCTTATGATGGTCCATCTGTGCAACTGTTCTTTGTACAGTGAGTTCAGTGATTGCACAGACAAATTTACATTCTTTCTCCACCCTACCCAGTTCCCTTCCAATATGTTCTTTATCCTCACAACTGATTCCCAGCCAAACCAAACTTTTTTTGCTAAAGTGGAAAACACAATTACGGTACCAAAACAGCGCCATAGCAAATCTTGGCTTGTCATTGCCAAGACAATGTGGCCATTACAAACAGTGCAGTGATTATATATGAACAAGAGTTAACAACATAACCACATCAATTTCACAACGAAGGTACAACTCTCTTACAATTCTGCTGCAGTAAATTATGTTTTTTTTTCCCATTACTACGGTGGAGCAAGATTTTTTTCTAACATTTCTAAAAAATGTTCTAAGTCTATGGTGGATCATGATTGACTACAAAACTCTAGCAATTATTGTGTGTGTGGGGAAGGGCATTAAAGTGTTAGTTGGACTTGCCAGCATTTATTTTTGAGATTACTCTACTTACATTTTCTGATCTCGTGGTGTAAGCTGATCCCCTCAACCCTAATTTACACTGAATATTAGAAGGGGTGAATTAGGAATGTTTTCATGTCTGTCTACAATATACAGGTTCCTTACAATTTTGTTAATAATGAGTCACACCTACCAAGGATTTTAATGTTGATAATGCATATATGTTGTTATTTTTATGTTTGTTTTATAGGGATCACCATTAATAAATGCTATTTCACGTGAACTACCTGCACCTGAAGACTTGATGCTACTGATGGTTGAAAAAGCAACAGTGGGGAATATAGTATATGGAAACCCGGTAAATGAAATTCAATAGCATTGTATGTTATTCAAAAAACAAAACATGTATATATATTATATACCGGTAATAAACTAATTAACTCAGTAAATTACAGTCAATTATTTCATTCTGGACTAGCGGTGAGATTTTTTATTGTTTTATTTAAAACTGAGTAGCCAGCCTATGATCATCATTTCAAAATATAATATATAAATAAGAATTTTTTTTAATGTGAGAGATAATGATGTTTATAGATTAATTTATACTATTTACTGGCTATATTGTTGACAAGAAAATGTTATACTGTATCACAATTAGTCTTGCTTGAAAATATAAATTGAAATTGTGTCTTAGAAGAAATGAAGCTGTCTTTTTAATTATTATATAATATGTATGGTTTTACTTGAAAATAATCATTAAAAAACATTGAAATATGTAATCGTTATGTATAAAATTATTAAATATGTGCAGCTAATGACATGACATGTTATTGTGATTAGTTATGTGTGTTGTTGGTATGTTTGTAATCCTTTACCTTATTTTATGTTTGTCTTTTAGTTGGGTAGAACTGTTATCAGTTATTTGGCAAAGCATATGTATACATCAGCATTGCGATGTGCATTGGAAAAGTCTGCAAGCAAAATAAACACAGGAGACAATTATGTTGGAATATTGGATGGTAAATAAAGTTAATATCATCAAATTCAATCACAAACCTGAGTCAGCAAACTGGTTGTAGCTACTGGTGTGTCCACAAAGAATTTTCTTTGACAACTCCATGTCAGACTTATTCATTTTGAACTATTCCATTCCTCATGGGTTCAATTTTTGGGCCTCAGTAGTTTTCGTTAAATTTTAACCTTTCTTATCATATTTATGCTGATGATAGACAGATCTATATTTCTTTTAAATTTGCTGAAGAATTTGATGTGAAGATTGAATCTCTCAGAAATTGTATTTCTGAGTTGAAAACTTGGATGTCCAAAAACTTCTAAAAGTAAATGAGCACAAGACAGAATTAATCGTCTTGTTTCCCTCAACAAAGGAAAATATGCCAAGACCTCCACATCAACATTGGGCAATGTCAGATCGATCAAGTACCTCATGTATAGAATTTGGGTATTATGATTGATTCTTCAATGACTTTGAGATAGCAATTCCCAAAATCACCAGCTCCTCAACATATCACTTGTGCAATATACATGCATTTGTTACCTCACATCTTGACTTTGAAATTCTCTTGTTTTTTGGTTTTGAAACAAAAAATTATGACAAGGCATGTAGACTATTGAACACTGTATTTATTTTCGAAAGAAATTTTCGACCAGTTCTCTGTCCTTCATCAGCTTTACTGAATGCACAAGATTGGCTGTTGAAAGTTGTATACTGTACAATATAAACAATACAATAGTGATGTAGATGGATTACAGGCCAATTATCTAATCTTTTATGCTGTAATATACAAAGTAAAAACCGACAGAGATCAAAGTAGTCAAGTATTGAGATAGTGGTATTAAAGATTAAGCAATTCTTAATTAAGCGTACATAGTAGAACAACCTAACTACTTATAAGCATGGAGGTATAAAAAAGATTTATACCTCCATGTTATAAGTGAACCATATGAAATCTTAAAACGTAAATGGTAGAATATATGAATTAAAATATATTAACCTATATGCCTGTAAATAGGCTTATACAATGTACAGATAAAGATATTTACATATAAACAGACATATAAAAATGGGATAAAAGAGGTCTCAAAATTCCAAGCAAAAAGGCATAAAAGCAATAATGATATGTGTGTGGTGTTTCTTTTTCTGATACAGATTTAAGGTTCAATGTAATTTTGGTTTCTCCTCCTGTAGCACCTTGAGCGCTACTGCAGTGGATACAGTATGTGCGCTTTATAGATCTTATAATTATTCATTATTGTTATTTTATGCTGCACAATTCAGTGCACTCTTTGGAAAAAGTGATTACCTCTTGGTGTCACCACTATGAGGACCCTGCACAATCAATTTAGACAAGACTGTAATGATTAATTATATTGGCCATTATTGTTGTTGTTATTACTGTATTGGTATTATAATCATTGTTTTAATATTATTAATACAGTTACAGTAAGTGATCATTCAGAATAATAATTATACATTACACTGGCCCAGCCCCCCTTAAATTTTTCAATTTAAGGGGGACTGGGCCCTCCCTTAAAATTTGAAGAAAAAAAGGAAATTTTCAAATTTTAAGTCTGAGAGTGTCATTTCCAGCTATCTGGGTGCCATAATTGTAAATTTTCCTATTTTATCTCCAGCATGGTGGGGCTGAGGTGGTGTAGACCCTCTGTCTTTCCTGGGCCCCTCTATTTCAAAATTTCTAGATCTGCCATTGCATTATTTCATCTCAGTTTATACAGTAATTAGTTTTCATGTGTTCTGACATTGATTATCATTTTGTAGGTGTTCCTGCTGGACAAACACCACTACATTGCTGTCTAGGTGCTCAGGGTACTTATGATGAACAGCGAGAAACAGCACTGTGCTTGATAAGATATGGCGCCTCGGTCTACAAGACAAATAGAGTAATGTATAGAAAAAAGAAATGATTCAGAAGGATTAGTCAATGTCTCTATTACAATACTACAAACATTACTTAAAACCAAAACCAACCAAATATATAAGAGCATTTAGTCCATTCTATACGAATGAATTCCATCACTTATTCTTGTACCAATATTTGATATAAATATTGTGATACTGATAGTGTTGGTTATTCCTTTGAATTATTATTTTCGCCATTATCATTTTATAAATCTTCATAGCTAAAATATTTGCCTTTGTTGTGCTGATGGAGTTTGCAGCCGCCATCCAGTGAAATATACTATAATTTTTTGTATGATCTTGTTATTACAGGTAGGGAATACACCTCTTGATTATTATGATCGTAATGAATGTAGTCAATATGAAGTATCAACAAAGGAGGAAAAGAAAGATGAACTTAAAAAATTGCTTATAGGTAAGTTATCTGTTGTACGTTAAATACTCCTGAACCTCATTGGCAAAAATCACAGAGCTTGCCTTATTTGGAAGAACCATGTTGTAAGCCTCAGATAGCTTTCTAGACATGGCTATACCTTAAGTACTAATAGCTAGTTGGGTGCCACTTCAGTGGACGCCTTCTGGGTCCTAACCCCAGCCCCTTTTTTAGGATGCCTTTTTTAAAGTGGAAGAAATATGGTAAATATTTAATTAGTCAATCATGTCAATTTTATTGTAAATTTAAATTAATTTTAACCAAGTATTGCATAAGATGAAAATGAAACATACCTGTAAATATACAATATATATTTTTAATATTCATGGAAAGCTCAATATTTTAAACTGTATTTTATTATGATTTTTATGCTTAAAATCAAGCAATGGCACAACAGCGTATCCTAAATAATCTAAAACAATTGTATGACAGTAATCGCTCCTGCAAGATGCTGGAAATACCACCTCGTACTTCTAGAGAAAAAAGATTTCTGATGTTTTGGACTCAGCCCCTGCCCCCTTGTTAATATCTCTGGATCTCCAATGTATATCCCATTGCAAGTGTACACTGCCCACAAAACTTGTCACTGAAAGAAACAGTAAAAACAAAGTTACAATAATAACATGCACTCGATAGATGCGATCCATGCATAGAGGCTTTTCTGCATGGATGTGCTATACAAGTCCAACTATTATTATTTATTTTTACAGCATTACGGCTGTTTCATTAGTCTGGCTGTAGCATAAACCTAGTGGAAACATTGATCAAATTATCTGCATTCTTCTCAACAACAATGAATCAAAAGTGAAAAGAATAGAAAAATAAAGTACAGTAAACAAAAATTTTTTAAAAATCAACTTCACTTAACATTTTGAAAATTTGAGGCAAAAAATACTACAAAATTAAAAAGGTTAATGTACAATGTAAGTAAATAATTATCAATCATTGTTATCTGGAGGTCGTGTCAAAGGGCAAAAATCAAACCTGTGATATGCATATGGTTCATAGGAATATTATACATTTGTACTCATACATTTCAGTTCCTGTATTATTCTTATAACTTTCTATTTTAATGTTATTTTCTGTTTGACCTGTTTATGTTCTAGAAGTAGTTAAGACTCAAGACTCAGTGTTTCAACACCTTGATATAACATTACATATTTTGATGTGTTATTTTCAGAAATCAGTTTTTACTGTGATGGTAATTTTTTTTGAACAAAATAATCACAGTATGTTTAATGTAAACTATAAAATGGATGGAAGAAATATGTAGCATAAACTGTAGTATACTAAGTAATATTTGTTATATTTTATATCCATAAGAGCTATCAGTTCCTGGAGAAATATTAGCAAGAGGTCCTGAAGCCATTAAAGCATTCACATATGAAGTCCAGAATGGGGAAATTACGATGGTTAATTCCAGAGTCATGTTCTTGGGCAAAGAAGGAACGGGCAAGACAAGTTGTGTCCGTTCCATGCTTGGCAAAGTGTAAGTACAGAACAAGGCCTTGTTTTTTAGGTAATTGTACAGTCTGTTGGCTTGCAGTCAGAGCCACAGTATTACAATATTCTTATAGTATCATATATGTTTATCACTCCTAGGCGACTGATTATCTAGGATTTTTTTGCAATTGTTTAAAAGATTTTAGAAGGGCATTACTGCCCATTGGCTCTTGATATAGCTGTAATTTTAAAAGGGTTTAATTTTTCACTTAGTATGCATTGAGTACAGTACTACACCACACACACACACAACACATCACTACAGCATGGTACATATGACACCATTTTGTTACTGAGTGCCTCCAGAGCTTGTCGCACTTTATTATAGCTATTTCAGCTGTTATTCAAAAACTAATTTAATGTTCGGATAAAAAGCTAATGTAAGGATGAAAACTTGGCATATACAGTAGTAATTATCCTGTGTATATTTGATTGTGAATATAAGTTTATAATGCAAAACTAAGGATATGTTATATAGTTTTGATCATTTGACAGTACTATGTACTCTGTTGCTGATTTAGAAGTTATAAAAGCAAGGTTAATTTCCAAATATTATTTTAAAAGTTAACGAAAAAATTTGGTATGTCATTATTTAAATTTATAAACCCATTGCATATGATATAATTAACTTTTCAGGTTTCTTGTTTCTAAGTATTTATTGATTTTGTATGATTATATTTATATAATAAATTATTTTATTGTTATTATATTTATCTAAATGTCAATAGATTTAAAAACAACGAACCATCAACAGATGGTATTGTAACAACAACAGTATTTTATACTGTTAAAGGAGATTTCAGCAAATGGAAGGAACAAAAGGATGTGGATGGTATGATTATTACACTTTTTGAAATATACATAATTTAATTTACAAATATACTGTCTAAATATTATACACTGTTATTTTTATGAATTATTTTGATGATATGTTTTTGCAAATAGAATGAACAAAAGGATGTGGATGGTATTAATATTATACATTCTTAGAATATAATTTAATTTACAAATTCACTGTCTAAAATATTATAATTTGTTATTTTTATAAATTATTTAATGATGCTTTTTCTTGAAAACTTTTCATTATTGTACAGTTTGTGAATTAACCAAGCAGATACGTGAGCATACCATTGCAGAAAATGTTGCCAAAAGGCTGAAGCAGCCAAAAAGCCATCAAAACTCATCTAATTCTGCATCGTCCAGTTCTACAGCCTCCTCAACAGTAAACTTTTATTTATTTTAATATGCAAAAATTACTTTAAAAACTTTTATTGAAAGATGTTCTTTTAATTTTTGAATATGTATTTTTACTTAGCGGTCAGCCTAATATGAAAATCACTGGTTCGAATTGCTGTGTACATTTTGAACTGACCTAGATTAGTGATTCTTAAATGTTTAATTACAGATGCCATCAGAAGCAGCAAAAATTATGACAAGCTATACCAGTAAACTCCCTGAAGAAGGAATTCATAAGAAACTTGTTGCTAAACTTGCTATATCTGCCAGTGTCCATCCGGATAACCCATTAGAACAATTAAGTGCATCTGGGGAGGGATTTGACAAGAGTTTTGTACCAAGTGATGTCACATGCATTTGGGACTATGCTGGTCAGCTGACTTACTATATATCACACAGAGTAAGTAATAACCGAAAGGTCCACTGATTAATCTCAGATAAGTATTGAAATACACGCCATCGTGTTGGGATTCAATATTTCGACATTAATTATGTTATCATCAGGAATGATGACAGTTTGTGAATTAACCAAGCAGATACGTGAGCATACCATTGCAGAAAATGTCGCCAAAAGGCTGAAGCAGCCAAAAAGCCATCAAAACTCATCTAATTCTGCATCATCCAGTTAGTTAATTCACAAACTGTTTATATTATGCATTTGATCATCATTCCTGATGATGACATAATTAATGTCGAAATATTGAATCCCAACACGATGGCGTGTATTTCAATACTTGGAGTATGTATTATACTTTCTTAAGTAAGTAATAAATTCTACTGAAAGCTATATTTTAAAATTACTGTATGTTTTCTTGTGATTTGGCATGTGACTCTGGTGAGAGTGGAGCAGTGGTCTTGTGGTAAAGGTGGTTGAATTCCACTCCCATTTTCCTTCGTTTCAATCCTTTTTAGGATTTTAACATTAATGTTGAAAATTAGTTTATAGAACATCACAGTTTATATTTATTCAAAAAAGCTCCTGAATATCAGCTGAATTTAGCTGGAAGGATCTCCCTCTATATGTGGTTCAAATCAAATATTATTTTGTGTGTTGTCTGTGTACCTGTAAAAAACAGTTCTTGCAGTATTTGCAGGATTCCAATCTCTCTTGTTAAGTGACTTCATTTTTCAATGATCAGTCAGGAGTGGCACCAGTGGGGCCTGGAGAAAAGTCCCAATTCATCGTGAAAAAAAATTATTTTTCTGCATATTAGTAAAAATTGACTTTATATTATGCATTTGATTGAATAAGCATTTGAACCCCATTGAAATTGTAATATATTTCGGGGCTTCTTGCCCTGGAAAGAGAGATTTTGTGTGAAGGCCCACCACAGCCACTTTCCTTACATCGGGGACGTCATTATTCCTCCTCCAATTTCAAATCTTTTCGCCACCCCTCTGTTTGTTTATAACATGCCTGATTTTATTAATTATTTTTTAAGTTTAAATTTGTTTCTTCTTCCTAGTTTTTTCTGACAGATGGATCATCCTACTGTGTTGTATTCAGTGTGTTAGATGATTTGGACGCCCTTGCAAACCCAAGAGATTTCCAGCAAGTAAATACACCACTTAATCTTCATTGCAGTTGTTTAACCTTAATTAGTTTTAATTCATCAATTAATCATATACCATTTTGTTTACTTTTTTCAGGGACAATTTGAAATGACAAATCTTCAGATGAATGTGTTTTGGATGCGGTCAATATACGAACACGCTGTACTACCCTATCGTGAAAGGACACAGAAGTTAATCAATGGCATATCCTCACCAACGATAAGTTTAGTTGCCACACACAAAGATAAATTATTGGGGACTGAGTCAGAAAATGACAAGCTGGTGAGACATTTTCTGTTTTTTAGTAGAATTACAGTGTTTCTTCTTGAAATCTTCAAAACATTTACTAATACTTTCAATTTTCCTCAAAGATCAGTACCAAGTTCAAAAGAATATTTGATGAGATAGAAGGAACACCATATGAAAGCCATGTGGATCGTGAGATGTATGTTGTAGATAACACTGTGGCTATGGATGAAGGGATTGAGAAATTGAAGAAGAATATCGGAAAATACATGAAGGCAACGGCAAAACCTATTCCCACTACCTGGGTTGATTTCCAGTCCAAAGTACAAGACGTTGGAAAAACAAGACTCTGTGTTTCCTTGGATGAGGTAACATCTGCTTCCTTATAATATTTATAATTGAATAATATTTAATGAATATGAATAGAAATCCACAAATCTAACACTACCCATCTCATAAATTTCTTCCTCTTGTATCCTAACCCCCCCTCCTCCCATAAGAGGTTGTTGGGCAGTGAAACCATAAAAAATCTAAAAATAGACCCACACCAAGCGGAAACATGTCTGTCACAGTCTTGAGAGTGCCACTTCCCGCCATTCAGAGGTTCCTATTCTTCAAAAAAATTATAATTTTGGAGGGAGACTCCCTCTCAAACCCTTTTCCCAGCTCGTGCCTATGAGCTCAAGTCTCCCTGTTGAACAGCCTAGTTATCAATAATGCACTTGCCAATTGTGGTCCCGGCCCCCCACCCCGGACCTGTGCTATAGCGGGGTGTGTTGCACCAAAAATATGCCAGTACGTGAGCCAAGGCAAGGAAATCTGTTTCTATTATAGTAACACATTCATTTTCTTATTTAGGCCTAATTTCTGTTTTGATATTGAATAATTAAATTTTATGAATCAGTTATTATTCAATCAATCAATTATTTTCTTTTTCTATGATCAATCTGTCAACCTGTCTCCTTTTTGTTCGCACTTTTCCAAACTTCCATGCTGTATAGTGACGCATACGTAGTGCTTCCATCAAGCAAGCTCATCTACTTGGCCTTGCTCTCATGCACTTCTCCGATTTAGACTTAGACTAGATTTTTATACCTCCTTGCTTCAAGTAGGCCTTATCATCCAATCATTTATTAGCGGGGCATTATACTAGCACTACGGCGGTAAGTGATGGGGACTTGGCCAGGGGATACGTTAAAACGATGCCCTGCACTGCCGGGAGGTGGCGGGGACTTTTACATGCATGTAATAGTTTTGAAAATTACATCCCTGGCTAAGTCCCCGCTAGGCCCGGGTCTGTGGGGGTGGAGGAACTACAATTGACAAGTGCATATATAAGGCAACATATAACATATAAGGTAAGAGCCAATCAGTGTTAGAATAATAACTTTGAGGGAAATCAACATATATAAAGCAAGAAATAATCAGCATTAGTTTGGTTCACCCATTGTATAAAAGGGTCAAATTAAGCAAGGTAGCCGACTACAATATATTTTTTACATTTGTATGAATGGAATTCTCTTTCCATTCAACATTTTAAGGTCACGGAAATTGCATCTGTATGTGGAATTTCTAAACCAACGCTCAACACTGTCCTCGATTATCTAAATGACACTGGAATAATTCTGTACTCTAAGACTAATGAGAAGTTAAAGTACACAGTTATTACAAACTTGCGCATGATGATTGACGTCGTGACGAAAATCATCACAGTAGTGAAACCAGATGATATTGACAAGGTAAGCAATATAACAATTTCCTATAAATATTTTTTTTATCGTTTTTATGATGTTTACAATTATGGTGAATTGCATGCATTTTATATGTTCATATTTTTTTGTAGCTGCCTATACTGCAGCAGTGGTATAGGCTCGACCGTGAGGGAGTTCTTCATGAAGAGTTGCTACATCATTTGTTGCGACATGAGATAGCAAAAGATGCCAGCAACTTTGAAGTATTTTTAGAACTGCTGAAGATGTTTGGGTTACTGTTTGAGCAACAAAAGGTAAGCTGGCTCTAATCGTTTAGCAGAAGTAATCCTTTCATAATATATATGTGCTCACTTTTTTAACAATTGTCATTACCGATATTTTTCAGGATTTATAGCGGTTCGGTGTAGCTGGAACGGTTTGGTTTCCCGACCTTGCTGTCCATTTCGCTCGTGTCCTTGAGCAAGGCACTTTACGTTGTTTTTCTCCACAAAGAAATATAAAAGTGTGCCTGATGGTGGTTGCCTGCTCCTGCCCTAATATGGCGGCAACACTTAAAAATGCGCTACCAATTTCATACCACCTCATTCATATTCCTGGATGAAGATCGAGATTCAAATGTATATAAAGTATCTTGCCTGGGTACAAGTAATCTGACCAAAGTCTATCTTGAATTTGCAAAGGTTTGCCGCTGTGCAAACATGCCTTCTGTTAATGGTTTCTTCTTTTACCTCTAATTTTTAAACCTTCTTGAGATTCATAATAGGCCATATCAGTGCTCTTTTTTTCAAAGGGATCTCAACCTGGTAACCGAACGTTCATGGTTCCCACTCGGATGCAAATCAATAAAGAGGGCTTGAAAGTTATGGAAGACGAGCAGCAAAAGGTATCGTTTTATGTGACTCCCACGGACTTCCTACCGGATGCTGTCTACAATGTGCTGGTCGTTTCCTTTTTAGACTTGATGAATGACAAAGGTAGGAGTGGTGATCATGTCGAATTGTTTCGGAGTCGTAGTGACTTTTACTTAGATGATGAGCATGTTGTGAGTCTAGGAGCTGTCAGAATCAAGAACAGACATGCATTGAAAGTAAGATGCAATGCTGAAGTTTAAACATATTATAATGTAATAACAGTGTAGAATTATGTTATAAATTATATATTATATATAAAAGTATATATAATTATGTAACAAAATAGGCAATAACATACACAGTTAACCATATGGAGTATTTCACCAGCTTCAGCAGTGAGGATTTGAGCCTATTATTAGCCGAACCTGAACTTGATCGATTCCTAAGCCTAGGATGGTTTAATGCTGACCTTCGAAAGGAAGATGGGTCCTTGTAGTATTCGTCTAGGCTCATCCTGTCGGTGTTGTATAAAACATATAATGAATGTTTCTCATTCGTGTAATGGGGTGGAATATTTCATGAGGTGAAAGATTGGATGTTCTATTCACCTCGTTGAATAGAACATCCAGTCTTTCACCTCATGAAATATTCTACCCCATTACACTCATAAACATTCATTATTTGTATATATTATGTGCATCCATGACCTTTTCTCAGTGAACACATTGACCAATAAAATATCTTGTATGTTGTCTTATAAACAGATTGAAATTTCACATAGGATAAAAGTTGATGAATATGGCAAAGAAGAACCTTTTGAACCACATCCTAGCATCTGCATGGAGGTAAGCTTCCGTAACCGAATTCTGTTTCAAAATCTAGTCATTTTGTAGTAGCAGTTTGGCGCAGCGGTTGCAGTTCTGCATTTCAACCTTGGGGTTGGAGGTTTATTCCCCCGATGTGCATTTCGCTTGTGTCCTTAGGCAATTACTTTACCTGTGGTTGTCTCCTTCCACCAAAGAGTACAAGTGGGTACCTGGTGTGTTCAAACACAAAATGCGCTGAATACAGATGAAATTTAATTAGAAATTAAAGAGATAATGAACAACTTTATTATAATTTGCTTTAGTATTACTTCTTTTAAATCTTATTTGTCATGCCTGCTAATGCTTTAAGACAGATTCCCAATTTTTACCAAATGCTCAAAACATCTTTGCTTCAAACTTTGCTATAAGTTTTGAAAATCACTAGTTCTAAGTGAAGTGGTTTTACTTAATGTTTAAAGAATTAAGATTTCCTGTGAATTTCAGTGGGGAGTGTGCATGGGTTTGCAAAAATCAACCAAATGGTGTAGGAGAGTTGCTTATAGTCCCAGATATGGTCAAAGGGAACAGCTATTTGGGTCATAGCTTCAGTGTTGTAGGGCATCCAATGTCTTTATAATCAACTTTAGCCTTGTTCACTGTGAAAAGTATTATAGTCTGGACTAATTTTACTATTTTCCTTTATTTTGACGATCTGAAAAAGAATTGACTGGTCGCCATTTAGGGGTCTTGGTTGCATTCCTAAAACACCTACAAAATTGACATTGTATACACCTTGCATATGCAAACATAAAAATTGTTCAGCATAATTTTATTTGATTTTTATCAGGTATTAAGTTACCTTCGACAGCAGTTGAAAACTGTGTATGTTACTACAGAAGGAGTCGGCTATGAGTTACGTATTCTTTGTCATGCCTGTGAACCTACGCTGCGACCGCTGCATAAACTTGAGGAATGTTTGAAAAAAGACAGTGTGCCATGTGGAAAAAAAAAGTTAGTCACAACAGCTCGTATCAGACGACTCTTTTCAACAGGTTGGTGTAAGAGTATAATTTGTTTATGAAAATGGTTTTATATTTTATTTTGGAAACACAGCGGTTGCTAAGATATTGATTTATGTTCTATTGAATAAATGAAACACTTAAAATTTAAAGTATATAAATAATATCTCATCTGTAATGCAAGTCAGAATGCTGTACAAATGCTACAGGTTTCATTAATTGAAATGAATGTGATTACAATACTTGTATGTTTTAGTGACGGATGCAGTGGATGGGGGGCTGCAAAAGGATAAATCATTCTTTCTTCACTGGCAGTAACAAACGAATACAGTATTCAAATTTTAATTGGGGGAACACTCTAACATAACCCTCTCTCTTGGACCATAAGTCTATTTATTTGTGCTTCCCACACCCGCCAAAAACGTTTTGACTCCACCTCTGATGTAATCAATTCTATCTTTTATTGCGGTGGAAAAGACAACTCGGAGGTCATAATGCTAGATGAGGAGTGTCATTATATATGGAAGTGAATATGACAATTATTAATTTTAAAAGCTGAAAATGTTATGATTTTGTCTACAG